AGAAAGAAAGAAAGAAAGAAAGAAAGAAAGAAAGAAAGAAAGAAAGAGGGAAAAAACCTCTCAGTTTTTGGTTGTAAATGGAACCCAGGACCTTCTGCATGCTGGGCAAGCCCTCCACCCCTTAGATATACACCCCAGACTGAGGGACCTTCAAGTAAGGACCAGGACTAGACTTAAGAAAGCATGATCTTAGCCGGGTGGTGGTGGCACACGCCTTTAATCCCAGCACTTGGGAGGCAGAGGCAGGCGGATTTCTGAGTTCGAGGCCAGCCTGGTCTACAGAGTGAGTTCCAGGACAGCCAGGGCTATACAGAGAAACCCTGTCTCGAAAAAAACAAAAACAAAAGAAAGAAAGAAAGAAAGAAAGAGAAATCATGATCTTGCTGGATGGTAGTGGTACATGCCTTTGATCCTACCAGTTGGAGGTAGAGGTAAGTGGATCGCCATGAGTTTGAGGCTAGCCTGGTCTACAGAGTGAGTTCCAGAACAGCCAGGGCTACACAGAGTAACCCTGTCTTGAAAAAAAAAAAAAAAACCAAAACCAAAACAACCACAACAAAATAAAACAAAAAAGCATGGTCTCAGGTAATACCATGACATAGAATGGACATATTTTGGTTTGTTTTTAGATGAGGGTTTGCTATGCAGCTCAGGCTAACCTGGAACTTACAGCCCTCCTGCCTCAGCTTCTTGTGTGCTGAGACTGTAAATATGCACCATTATGCTTGGCTCAAAGTAGAGATATTTATGAAGCGTCATGCCTTAAAATTGTTCGTTGTGTTTTTGGTGTCAAATAATGAGGGACAAACAATTCTTATGTTCACTCTGCCCTTCTTGTGACATAGGAGAGAGTGGTAGGGCTCCTGGCTAGGATGAAGGATACTGAGGGAGAGTATGGGTGAAGAGATGGTCCCTAGGTCACATATTATTTGGTAATTTCCAAAAGCTTTGAGTTTATTTTTATTTTATGTGCACTGGTGTTTTGCCTACATGTATGTCCATGTGAGGGTGTCAGGTCCCCTGGAACCTGGAACTGGAGTTACAGACAGTTGAGAGCTGTCATGTCGGTGCTGGGAATTGAACTCAGGTCCTCTGGAAGAGCAGCCCATACTCTTAGCTGCTGAGCCATCTCTCCAGCCCCCAAAGCATAGAATTTAATATTCATAGTTTAGTCTCATGGGATCCAGCATGTCAGCCATGCGATTACCTCTGAGGGCACTTCGGCAGAGCGCTGTACCTGCCGGCCTCTCAAAGGTGCTTGCTGTCAGAAGTTCCCTGCAGCGTTCAGTTCATGGAGTTTCTGGGCTCGATTGTCTCTGGAGGCCATCCTGGCTGGGACTGTGAGCACGGGGACAGACGTCAAGGGAATCCTTACCTTGAGTTTGGGAGAGTAAGGTGGGCCAACTCCAAAATGGTTTCCATGCCTCTTCTCTGGCTCTGGTTCCCGAAGTATCAGAGGAGACAGGCCTCGGGTCTGGCCAGAGCCCTTGGCAAAAGGGACATAGTTCTGTAGGCGTCGGCGACCAGAGTCCTGGGGGAGGAGAAGACAGGGGAAGTTTTAGGAGTACCAGCAATACTAGAGAGATGGTAGGGGCCGAGCTTGGCTCTGGACCTCATCCCTTGCTCCTGCAAGTTGGGCTGGCTTGCTGCTCTCATCAAACCAGTTTGGTGTGAGTCGCTGCCTCTTTGAGTCACAGTGGCTGCTGCCAGGGAAGCCAAGTTCAGCTGGGCAGGGCCATGCCTGCTTGGTTCCTCAGGGAGCCTGGAGGCAGAGGCTGAGGCCTCCTGCAGGGCTTAGACACAGGCACACACACGCCTGGGCATTGCATCGGGCAGCCAGCTTCTCTTCAGCTATACCCATGCCCTCTGTGCCAAGGGCTCACAGGAACAGTGGATGTCCCATGCTGGGTTCTGAGTTCATCCCTTTGCAGGCAGCTAGGCTCCCTTGTGGAAATAAGAGACCACAAAGGTTCGGCCTCCTCCCTAGGGCCTGCAGCCAGTGTCCTATGCCACTGGGAGTTGCTCTGTCCTTCTGTGTTAGAGGTTGAAGCCACAAGTCTCCTCCCAAGGCAGGCCTGGTCACATTCCTTGTCTGCCTTGGCCTGAATTTCCTCACATACTTCCTAGTGTCCCTTTCTGCCCTCTGCCTGGGCAAGTCTCGGGTCTCCAGGGGTGGAATCCTCTAGAGAGGCAGGGAATACCCCAGATAAACTCTTCTTAAGGAAGCACTGAGGGCAGAAACAGCCTAAGCCCTGGCTTCCACACCCCTTTCATCTTCTAGGCTTGGAAGTGGGCCGGGCAGGTAGAGCCAAGGGGCGGGACTGAAACAGTTCCCGCCACTCCCTGCTCCCCTGTGAGAACAGGGGCGCCCTGAACCTTTGCTCTTCTTCAGCCCTGACTCAGGGAGCTTTTGACTCCTCCCACTCAAGTAAAGACTGAGAGATGCCTTTCCCCACTGCACTGGTAACTCAGCAATGCCTCCCAGTCCGTCTTCTGAGCTCCCGGCGTCTCCCACTGTGTTGTCTGGGGCCCAGGCACCGGCTCCCTCTCCCTGGCAACCCCGGAAAGTGGAGGAGGTTAAGGGACAAGAATAGAGCAGCCTGTGAAACTATAAGGGGACAGACTTCAAAGCCTTGGTGTCATCCCTCCTGCCCCACCCAGGTCACCTTCCGGGCACAGGTCAACTCACCAATGCAGGGCTTCCTCTGGGATATATATTCCCAGCAGTGTTCTGGGCAGAGGTCGGGTGACGGCCCCCATAAGTCTCAATTAGGGAAGCAACCAGGCCTTGGAGGGGACCCTCATTTGGAGGGTCAAAGGCTTGCATTGTTTCTCTCCTGAGTTACCCCCAGAGGATCATAGTTCCAATGTCCAAGAAGAAGGGGGTCCCCTTTTCTGCAAGACAAAAAGCCCAGGAGTAGTGAAGACTCTCTCCACAGGTCGGAGAGCAAGGAGAGACAAGAGGACAGAGTGGGGCAGAGGGCTAGACAGTGATCACTTTGGGGGAGGTGGAGTGTGTGCTATCTATAAGTTAATGGGGGAGGGCAGGTCCAGGTGCATGTTGGATAAAGAACATCTGCTTTCCGGTTAGGAAACATTCACACTTCAGCCTCAGAGGATGCTGTAGTCTCAAGACCAGCTGGGGGCAAGGGTCACAGAAATCGCTAGCGCTCTAGATAGCCCCAGGTAGAAGGCATTCTCTTGTACCTAGATGTCTCCTTTCCTGTGTTACCTTTGTCAACACTGCACAAACTCCATGGACTGGGAGGGGTAAGGCTGACTAGACAGCCAAGTGGGTCCCTGGAGTCAGAACAGACTATGGGCTAAGAACGGCTTTTGTTTTCTTTCCTGATGAGACAGGAGGGTCTCATAGCCCACACTGACCTGGAACACACTGTATAACCCAGGCTAGGCTATCTTCTAACTCTGAATTCTCCTGCCTCAATTTCTAGAGTGCTGTGATCACAGACATATTCCATCATGCTTAGCAACTTTTACATTTTTAAATAGTAGAGGGGAAAAAAGCAAAAAGAAAAATAATGTTTGGGGAAAGTGAACAATATGCACAATTCACATTCCCTTGAATTACAGCTAGTTTTATCGCGGTTCAGCCAGACAGCCACCCTTACTGGTTGGCTTGCCATCCATGGCTGCTTTTCTGTTAGTCGCAACTGAGACTCAATAGACAAGGGACTCTACAATATGTCTTTTCTGTCCCTTTACTGGGACGTCTGCGCACGCCTTACCTGGACCCCCCACGTCCACACACAATCTGGCGAAGTCGGGAGACAGACAGGGTCTGTAGAGATTCGCCTAGCTGAAGCAGCCCGCTGGTCTCCCACTAAGTCCGGTCTTTCCCGGCCTCCGAGGGCACCACCATGGATAGAGCTGGAAGTCAGATGCAGGACTCCACCCCTCCTTTCTAAACCTGGATGGAAGACCCATCCCTTGCAGTAGGCAGGGCCTGAAGGGAAGAGGCCCTTAATGGGAGTTGGACTCAGGAACACAGGGGCTGGTTTCCCATCAACTGGTCCCCAGGCACTTCCATTTTTCTCCCCTAACTTTCTCTGACTTGTGCGCAGAGGAGATCGCTCGTTATGTCTACCGCCCCGGGCCAACAACAGTCCAACCCCTGAGGGCAGTCCCCCGCCTCTCCCTCCCCTCCCCCCTTACTATCCCTCCCAACTCCCACCCTTTCTATCTTTTCCCAGGCCCAGCTTTCCTCCCTCCCTCTTTCCCAGCCTCCTTCCCTCCTCCTTCTGAGGCCTTGCGACCCTATCCCAGATCCCCGCTTCCCTGCCCGCCTGGCACTCGCCCTCCCAAGTGCTCACCTGTGAGCGCAGGTGTCCCGGCTTCCGCTGTCCTTGATGTCCACTGGATCCGGTGGGAATCCGGGTCGTTGTCAGCTTCCTTGGCGATGGCAGCCCCTCTGTCCCTGCCTGGGACTAGGACCGAGCGGCCCGCAGGACCAGGCAGCACCGGGCCGGGAGGGGAGGTGAAGGTGGAGGCAGAGGGGCGGGACGCAGGCTGGCACCTCCCCCTCCCTGCGGGCCGTGCAGCGTCGCGGTCCCGGTCACCGGGACGGAGAGTTCTGGGAGCCGGATTCCCAGTACACCAGCCCCAGACCAGGAGTGCTCACTTCGCAGTGTGTGCCTTCTCCCTTTCTTTTGCACCTCAACTATCCAGTAATCTGTCACCTGGTCTGGGGTCAGGGACTGGAACCTGTGCCACACACAGGCCACCAGCGTGTCCTCCCTTTCCGGCCAGACCCCTACGAGGCGCCAGGGTAATGAGGGGTAAATGAGAGGTTGGGCGCCGCTAGGCGGAGGGAGGCGGAGAAGTAATGACCAAGTGACTTGTGGCAGGTACCCATCCCTTCTCTGCACCCCTACCCCTCTTGCCTGTCCTAGACCGTTACCCTGAAAGGGAGCCAGCCTAGCATCAGGAAGGGCATAGTCTCAGAGATCCTCGGCACCGTGACTGTCTGGCCACAGAGTCCAAAGTGTAGTCCTTATCTCCAGTGGACCTGCTGGCTGGCCTGCCCTGGCAACAGGTTCTGTGGACTTTGCATCTAATTCAGGGAGGGGTCAGGGACCAGGCTTAGCCCATACTCAACACTACTCCCATTACCTAAGCCTGGAGGGAGGGGGCATACCAGGTGAGGGCACCCTCCCACCGTACTGTGCTTGGGCCAGTGTGGCCTTTCTAAGGGCTACAGAGTTTCTCCAAAGTGGTACAGCACTGGTTGGACATGATGTGAAAGGCTTTTCCCCCCTCAAATTCCCAAGTCATGCAGTCCGGTCTGATGGAAGAAACAAGAAGCATCATCCCATGAATGTGTGATCCAGAGGTGGAAGTCTCTGCAGGGAGCATGGACAGGTCTGAGGCCCACTTTGGGATCTTCCTTCTGCCAATGAACTGGACTGGGTTTGACACAACTTACCACACAAAGCATCCTGAAGTCCCTTTCAGAAGTTTCTCCCTGTGTTCAGAGCCAAAAAGCTCTAATTCTCACCCTGTCCCATGCCCCCCTTCAGTCTGGAGAGGCACCTTACCATTGGCTGATTGAATGTGTGCTCCTGTTCTCCTCCACGAATTTGCCTGCCCGTGATCTTTTTCAGATTATGATGTTTGAGGTACCAGCGTTTACAGAGGAGCACTCTGGAGCTCTGGTCGCTTCCATCCTGCTCCTCCCCTCCCCCGTTGTGTGCACTGGGGGGAAGGAGTTGGAAGAGAACCATATGTGTCAAGGATGTAGTGTTTGTTCCTAGCATTCACACTGTGAGGGACTGGGAGAAGAGGAGACCCAGAGATGCCGAGTAGCCATGAGAGAGAGTTAACAAACCAGTCGGTGCTGATTACTGGATATATTAAATGACACCCCAGAGACAGTTGGTGCTGAGGGCTCCTAGCTTCTCCTCCTACTGTTTCCCAGATGAAGATGGAAGAAGAAGAAAGAGGGAAATTGGAGTTGAGAGAGTAGGAGAGACAATCCTGGACTTACATCCCCCTGGAGTGACCTGCTGGGACCCAGGGAGAGTTAGTTAACCCTTTTCCTTCCCTCAGGGCTGAGGTCCCACCTCCACCTCCCAGTGCCCTAGGGCCTGTATCAAGCAAGTCTCCCAGGGAGGAGAGGTTCCCAGACACAGCTAAAGACAGAGGCGTGGCCAGCTACAGGTGTGTGGGCAGGTGGACACGCAGGCTTTCTTGATCCATTCCTTCTATTCTGGATCTGTCTGTCTGTCCTTTCTACAACTGCCCCCTCCACCAGGCTCTTCCATGCTGTGGAGGACAGACTCCTGGAGCAGGCTGAGGAGGAAACACAAGCAGAGGAACTGAATAGTCTCATGAAGAGCAGGGTGCCAGAGGCTGGGCCTCTGCTGGGAGGGACTGGGAGTCACTGGTCAGAATAGAGGGGACCTCCTGGATACCACTTTTCTTTTTCTGCTTCCTTAGAAGTTCCCGGCAGTCATAACACAGATCATATTCCTTGACCATGCCTCAGTTTCCTCTCTGGGTCAGATGGTCTTCATCAGGCCCCCAGCCTGACCCTACCACTGATGAGGTAGGTGTCCTAGGATCCGAGTTTGGAGAATCGAAAGGCTCCGTCTGATCAGTAACTTTGGGGCCTGGCGGTGGATCTTGTGGGGTTAGCATAAAGCTTCAAGAGGCAGGAGAGTGCAAAGGATGAGCCTGAGCTTTAAGTCGGACCCAGTCCACATCTCTGGGGAGAGGCAGGCTGTCTACGTCAATGAGGTGTTAGAAGTTCCTAGCAACTGGAGGCAGCCAACCCGAGTTATGTCTTTTCTGAAGAGTTGGGGACAGACTGGGGACTTGAGCAGGAGGTGGCAGATCATGAAAGACAACATGTACAAGGCAGCCAGGCCACTGGGTCCAGCTGCTGGTGCCTTACATCAGCCTTGGGCTCCCGTTCTCCCTGCTTCCTTCCTCCTGTCCATCTGTGTGAAGTCTAAGGAGTCTAGAGATAAATGAGAGAATGCCAGACAGACGCAGGGAATTCCAGACTTATGGAGAGACAGATGGGTAGATAAAACATTGATAAGGTAGACATAGACATGATGGACCGGAAACCACGAGCACACGTTAGAAGGACCAGTTGCTACACAGGGCAGGCAAGGAAGGCTTCCTGGAGGAATTGAGCTCTGTACTGAGACCACAGTGCTGATCGCAAAGGCTGGGTGGGGCCGCAGGGAGTTCGCTTCTGGAACAAAGATTGAAGAAAGACCCGTGGTATGGAAGAGCTTGCTTGTAAAGATGCCAGAGCTAAGTGTGGTGGAACACACTTGTTCCTGCTTCCCAGGAGGCCGAAGCTCGAATGTTCACAGGCAGCTTGTACAGCCCAGTGAGATCCTGGCAGAAAAACCAGCAAATAGGGCTAAGGAGATGTCTGGGAAGACAAAGACCCGAGTTGATCCTCAGGACCCACTTAATGGAGGGAGAGACTCTGACCTCCTCACACACATAAATATAATTGAAAAAAAATGAGAAAGGAAACAAGCAAACAGGGTCAGGGCATGGCTCAGTCAGTCGGCTCAGTGCTTGCCTGGCGTGCGGGAGGCACTGAGCTTGACTCCCAGAACCAGCATAAACTGGTGGCATGCATCTCTTACTCTGGCACTGGGGAGGTGCAGGCATGAGGATCAGAGGTTCAGTATTATCCTGGGCAATACGAGACTTGTATACAAACAGATACGGAAAGAGAAGGTTTTCCAAAGACTCCAGAGTCTGCTTTTATGGTTCCCTAGGGACATCCCACCATCTCTGGGTCGTGGTGACTTGGGTGGGTAAACCCTCTTTCTTCTGGCATCCAAGGATCTCCTTGTTGGGCCCCAGTCACAATTTCCACTTGTCTCTTGCTTCTCCCTGTGTATCAGTGTCCCTGAGTCTGCTTGAGCTTTCCTGACGCTTCTCCTTTGGTGTTGCTTGCAATGTCCCCCAAACACTCTCACTTCCTTCCAATCCCTCTCAAGCCTAGGACATGCGTCCTTTCCTGCTGACGCCGGTCCCACACACATTGTTTCTTCAAAGGACCTGCTGCTTTCTTATTCTATCCCTACAGCTGGTCCTTAACTAAATGTCCCTGAAGCGGGGGACAGCCCCTTGCATAAAGCATGGCGCTAGACTCAGCATTTGTTGGACTGCACTGAACTCACTTGCTGGAAGACCCAGAACATTCCATTTGGAGGATACTTGCCCACTCTGTCTCTGCTCCCGGCTGATTTTAGATAGCTGATGTTTGGGTGGTTTCACATGATCACCCCCTGATTTAGTAGTACCCCTTCAGCAGGAGGCTAAGCAGGGTTCTGTGGATGGGAGTGGCTTGGTAGGGAAGAGGCTGAGGCTCTTTCACTGTGTGTGAAGATGTTTGTCTATTCGAACACTGAAAGAGGCCGAGGCACTGTGGCACTGTGAGGTGTCTGCTGGGGGCACAGGTGACAGAGGAAGTTGGAAGAGGAACAGGGAGCCCCAGAGGCAGAATGACTATGGGGTTTCCCCAGGGCTAGCCTTGGAGTTGGATGTCTGACGTCAAAGCCTGTTCTCTGGCTGGGCCTTCCTCTGCCTGTGACCTGAGAAGGATGCAAAATTTTCACCCAGACCCTTGTATCTCAGGATCGCAGGAAGTCCTTAGCAGCGAGGTGCAGGTTCCTCACCTGTGGGGTACTCCCTGACCTCCTTCTCTGCTTCCAGAAAGGAAAACAAACAACAACAACAAAAACCCTAATCCATAGCAATAGTAGATTCTTTACAGGTCCCAGCTGCTCAGGGATGTCTCTGCCCCATTACCCCAGGGGACCACTGCTGCCCCTAGTGGTATCTCCTGAAAATGACAACTGATTTGGTTTAGTTTTAGGGGTCTGTGGACAAGCCCTATGCCTGTTCTTTTGGAGGAGACCCACAAGGCCTTGCAATCTGAGGACTGGCTGACATCCTGGCAGAAGGTCCCTGACTTGGCCTAACAACCGGAGAGGCTTCTCCCAGCCTACCCTGGGAGATACACATGAAGGCGAGATGGCCTCCTTCACCCCCCTTCCTCAAAGCGCTTGCTTCACTCTGTGCTGACTCTGGATCTTCTGGGCTTCTGCAGCCTTAGGGCGTCTCCAAACCCACGTGAGCAGGCAGTAGAGACTAGGTTAGTCCTTGTAAAAGTTTTCATAGCTAGGGCACCTTTTCTCTAGTCACAGCCAGTTTCTACCAGCCCAGCCCATGTCACTTAGTCATAGGTCACAGACCTGGCTCCTGGTGTGTGTGTGCGCACGCACGAGTGTGTGTGTGTGCACGCGTGTGCGCATGTGTCAAGACCCACTTGCCAGGGCATCTGACCGTCCCAACCCATCTCACCATGCCACTCCCTGTTCAGCCCAGGAACACCACAGCTCTAAATCATTATTTCCAATTTAATTGGGCAACCTTGACTTTCAGGAAGTTCT